ACCTACCTTGGTCGTGCCGCCACTCAACATGGCGTATCAGTACTTCAGTTCGCAGCACAAGGAACTTCTGGCGATTCTAAACGCGTCCTTGCACTTGGTCCCTGGGATCATCCCGAAGGCACAGATTATCAAAACGTGGATATTGACTTTCGAGCAACTTCGGTACCATCAGCTTCTCGAACAGCAGCCGCCGTACTTACCGCGTTGGATACCTGGGAATTCAACACCGCTGATGAAAGTGCCAACGCGTGGCGAACGTTTTATAATACCCGAGCAGCCTTCCAAGGAACTCCAGCACCACTTTGGGGAGAGATAAGTGGTCTTGCAGCTGATGAACCTGGCGTCGTTGAAGCAGCAGAATAGGAAGCAGTAGCTGAGCAGCCGAGTCCAACAGAAGCTATCGCCGAAATACCTGCCACAACATCAACAGAAGCAGTATCAGGGGTTATCCTCGCAACTGCAGCAGCACCAACACATGTCACGTTACCTCTTAACCGTTTTGTCGAAGGAGACATTGACAAGTCACCAGCACTTTCTTCTTTTCTTCTTTCTTCTTTTTATACTAACTCCGATTTCTATCTGCGATCATCAGGACACAAAGCCACAGAAGATATATGGCATCAAAGGTTAGGGCATCCATCACAAGGGATTCTAAATCATTCAATCCGAGCAGCAGTTCTTGATAAAAACAGTTTACTTTTACCTGATGGCACGGAGATGAAGCCGCGGTCTCGTCCGACGGTTTGCACCACCTGTCCAGTTGCCAACCTTACGCACGATCCTTTTCCAAGTCATTTTCCCGGCTCAACCCGTTATAAACTGATGCAGAAAGTCTACAGCGACATACTCAACTTGTCTGAACCAGGACCTAAAGACGAGAAATATGTGATAACCTTCATCGAAGCGTCTACACGCTATGTCTGGACAGCTAACTTACCTGCGCGCCATCTCGCTCACTCCGTCTTCATCGCGTGGCTCGCTGTCGCTGAACGAGAGTCAGGAGTAAAACTGCAAGAATTTCAGAGCGATGGTGCAGGGGAGTACACCTGCAACACCTTCACAGACTACCTTCAGACACTCGGCATCAAACGGAAGCAGTTGCTGCCACATGCACACCAACAGATGGGGGTAGCAGAAAGGATGAACAGGACTCTGCAGGAGAAGATGCGTGCTCTGCTGACGCAGGCAGCCCTTCCACCGCAATTTTGGTCGTATGCGATGGACCACGCCGTGCTGTTACACAATCTTCTTTCTTCAACGTCCCTGCCCGAGTTCTCTTCTCCACACCTGCAGTGGACACGTACAATGGGGAGCACAAAACTTTTACGAGTTTTTGGGTGTGTTGTACAGTTTCGTCCTCCAACTGCAGCTCTCGGCAAATTTTCTGAACGAGCAAAATGGGGGGTACATCTCGGCATCGAAAAACAGTATCATGCGTGGAAGATTTTGGATCTCCGCTCAAACCAAATCATCCCGTCACGTGATTGTCTTTTCTACGAAAGACTCACCTTGCCCGTTTTTCGTGCCCACCAGGCAGCCGCTGCCAACCCCGCCAGGCTGTTCGAAGGCTCGCGTGCGTTTGCCACTGACGAGGCTGAAGCTGATGTACAGGACGAAGCAGTTTCTGAAGCATCCGAAGCTGCCGCAATTGACATTCCCGAACCTGTAACCTCGACTGGCATACCTGAATTCATTCCTCTTGCAGATGCTGACCCGGATGATGTTCGCAAAGTTCGTCTCAGCTATGAACGTGATCGCCAACAGCAGCCGATGTCCGTCGTCTCCGACGAAGCCGTTCGTGTTACACCTGACGAAATTGGGGGGGAAGAAGGACTAGAAGAAAATTTCGCAGGTGCAAACGAAGAACGTCCGCGTTTTACAGAAACAGGATTGCAGATACTGGGATTTGCAGTAGCAGTACAGCGCAACGACAGTAAGATACCTGAACCGAAAACCGTCCGACAAGCTCTTACGAGTCCTCACCGAGAAAAATGGCGCGAAGCCATGGACAAGGAGCTAGCAGCACTGAAGAATCGTGGTACATGGGATTTAATCCCGTCTTCAGAGGTCAAAGGGAAGAAGGTACTTACCGGAAAATGGGTCTTCCGCATCAAGACTAATGCAGATGGGTCGTTTGAAAAAATTAAAGCACGATGGGTCGTCCGCGGATTTGAGCAGACTTACGGCATCGACTATGAACTAACCTTTGCTCCTGTCGGCCGACATACAAGCGTTCGGATTCTACTTTGTGTCGTCGCCTGCCGTAATCTACGTCTTCGCCAAATCGACGTCTCGAATGCGTTTCTCTACGCGCTTGTCGACGCACTCATCCTAATAGAGTACCCACATTCTTATACTACTAACCCACCGAGCGTTTGCCGTCTACGGGTCCCTGTACGGCATTAAACAGGCACCACGGCTCTGGCAGCAGTATCTTCACTCGCAGCTGGTCACTGCCGGTTTTCGTCAACTACCGCATGATCAAGGAATGTATCTACTGACCGACGGCAGCAACTACATTCTACTCGTTGCCTACGTCGACGACATCCTATACGTCAGTACTACCGATTCTCTTGCCGAGACCTTCATACTGAAATTACAGAAAAATCTACAGCTTACCGTCTCCGAAACAGTCTCACAGTTTCTTGGACTGAACATTACCTGTTCAATGACAACTATTCATCTCACCGCTTCGAAGTACGCAGCAACTCTCGCTGCCCGCTTCAACCTCACGCCTACTACATTCTCTACACCGTACCGCTCACTACCGACTGACCACAAACCGAACACCGCCCTGTTAACTTCAACTGGTTTACAGATCTATCAACAGCAGCTAGGCTGTCTACTCTTCGCCGCTGTCACTTGTCGTCCTGATCTAGCCTACGCGGCCAGTCAGCTCGCTCAGTTCCTACGCCGTCATGAGGAGGAGCATCAGCTTGATCTACTTCGTACGCTTCAGTATTTTATCTCGACACCTGACGTCGGATTAGTCTACAACGTCATCGGCTGTAAAACACTCTATCTACATCGTTTTGTCGACGCCGATCACGCTGCTGATTCTACTAATCGACGGTCGCGCACTGGGTTCATCTATCGACTGGAACCTATCGGACCTATCTCTTGGAATTCTACGAAGCAGGAGCTAATTGCACTCTCCTCTGCTGAAGCTGAGTTTATTGCTGTCTGCACAGCAACACGCGAAGGACTTTACTTACAGGAACTATTGGAAGAAGCGAAGTTGACGACAACTACCCAGTTTACCCTACAGTGCGACAATCAAAGTGCAATTCGCATCGCACATCAACCTGGTTTCGTCAACAAAACGAAGCATATTTCGCTTCGTTATTTCTTTGTCAAAGATGAAGTCGAGAAGGGGAGGATGCGATTGGTCTACTGTTCGACCAACGAAATGGCTGCCGATTTTCTCACGAAGAAGCTGACACGACAGAAGTTTCAGTATTGTAACAAGCTCTGCGGAATCTTCAAGAAGTGACACTATCGACGTTCCAGAAATGAAGGGGAGTGTTGTGATATAATTGGTACTTAGCATTTCTGTAAGTCGATTAAGTGTAGTTAGTGTCGAATCTTACTGTAGAACATAAGTCCGTAGGATGACGTCAGCAAATAGCGCTCGTCATAGGACAGTCGTTTCAGTTACGCGAACAGTCGCACCTCTTCAATATCATCTAGGGCGCATAGCGCGATAGTGACGAACAGGTACATTAGCGAATAGGTACTTTTCGTAGAACTATAAATCTCTGTCAGGTCTTTTCATTATTAACTTTAATTACTCACAAGTTCACATACTCAGGTTATTCAACCTTGACTATTACATTTTACAAGACTTCCGCTGTCTTACTAGTCTACCATTCCAGCAAAGATTCTGGACCAACACTTGAGGATTTGCCAAGTGTTCGTGTTTATAGTTTCATACTTAGTCTACTACAACACTAGACGATTTACTTCAATGCTTTCTAGCCTTAGACCCCATCCCTAACACGGGAGCTGTGCAGTTCAACTCCTAGTCTCTCCTGTCACCCGGTTTCGACCACCATCACCTCCCATCTCCATTCATCCCCCACTTTCACGGTGTTCCTTCCTCTCTATTTAGTTTCGGGGCCTGAACGTTCCAATAGAACCCAACTGAACGATGGTGCTCAACACAGTCCATTGTTTAGGGGACGGCTCCTAGCCTCAGTGGCGGGCCATAGTCGCTCAGTCTGCCAATCATCCCTCCTCTCTTCACCCCGTTCAATCTCAGCCGCCACTCCGGACGGGGCAGCTGGCGTTGACGACATGCGCTTTAGAGACTATGAGCTTGTCCGGCTCTTGCTAACATCTGTTGACCGCCTATTGCCTGCCAAAAGGCCCGGGCACAGCACCGACTGACCTGTTGTGTGGGTAACCGAGGATGCGGCGCCTCGCCTGCGTCTCGCCGAGTCCTTTCACATGGCGATATCAATGAACGGCACACCAATGTGAGTTTTTCTGTGTTCAGAACGCGGTCATGGTTGTGCAGAGACATGGCAATGGTGCACGACATATGACACTAGTTGCCGACGCAGGTGCACCGCGGAATTGCCCATGTCAGAGCAGTGGTTATGCTACTTGTGTGTTTGCTGTAGATGCCGGCACGTTGTGCTGCAACCTAGTGGTTTTTGTATTGCTCTTTATATACACGTATTGCATATGGGATGTATAATTATAAAGATGTTTTTATTACACATGACATGCCTAAAATTCCATGGTCACACTGTATCTTCGCATGAGCTCCTGATGATTATCGTTGCTCACCGAACACGTGGGCGTAGGGCGTGGTGGAACCTTTGCTCTCGACCGAAGTTCGAGCGAGGTTCCACCGCAATATGCCACGTAGTTGTCTAACTGAATCGGATTTATACCGTCACCAAACTCACCGGACCGCCCATCGCCGTCCGAACACCCCTCCGATCGAGAGCTAAGGTTACTTGCTGTGTGTGAGTTTGGGACTCTTTCGCGTAGCCTACTAACCCTAACCAGCACTATGCCACCAGTAGGGCCTGGTCTTGGCCGCACCGTCACGCACCGCGTGGCTATTTTCCCAGCGACTTGTTCGTCGAGGGCAGGTCGTTGGGAATGGAGTCCGAGATGTGTGAGTTCTGTGGTAGGAATCTTCCCGATTACACTGCGCTAGGGAGACATCAGGCCACGCACCAGCGATGTCTCAGGGAACAACTTAAGCCCCCGCACCTTAGGCGCTATGTCCGGCTTAGGAGGCGCTCGCTTCGCTCCCGGGCACGGCCGCGGGAGACCTCCCCGTCGTCCGACTCTAGCGAGTCGTCGGATAATGGCCCGCATCAGAGGCGGCGCGGGGGCCCACCATCTCCCGAGCCGTCGGGATCCAGCGATGGGTCTGAGCAGCCTGGCGCCGACGCCGAGCCTCCCGCCCCGCCCATTCCTGACGAACCGGATGAGCCGTTCGATATCCGCGTCGAGGTCTCCATATTAGCTCGCAAGTACCTTCTAACCAACACGTGTATCACCGAGATCATCCAGCTTCTGAAGCATCCGCAACTGCGGAGCGAGGACCTTCATGAATGGGACACTCACTGCGATCTCGAGAAGTTCGAAGAGCAGTTCTCTGTCGAACCTGAGCACAACTGGGAGCGGGCGGAGCTTCAACTGCAGGGGAGGGAGGGGTCGTTCGTAATGTGGTACCGACCTATATTGCCGGTATGCAACGCATGTCAGTGGGGCACATTGATTTTGGCGTGCACATGCGACCCGACCCCCTTGCAAGGTTTTTCGTGCGGGGATGGCGCACGTGTACTGACGAACCGCGTGCCCTCCTGTTGCGCCCTCGCAAACCCATGTACCATGGCAGGTCTTGCTCAAGATGTGGCACGAAATGTTGGCTGTGGAAGGCTTTGTGAGCGAACCTGCGGAGTGGCATGTGGACGGTGAGCGGCGCTACTGCACGCTGGGGGACTGCAATTGGTGGATGCTCATGCATGTGAGTGGTGTGTCTGCTATATTTGCCATGGTGGTAGATGGCCGACGAGTGTGGCGTTGTGGTGGCGGTGGAGGCCTGTCAGGAAGATTGTAACACCCTTCCACTCGCCATGATTTCAAACATTCCTGGATTCTCCTTTTCTCAGCATTCCCCAATATCCCCACGTTCCCCCGAATCGCAGCAATCCCGTGTATTCTGGCATTCCAACCCATCACAGCATTCCCCCACGTCCCCTGCTCCCCCCATACCCTCACCTTCACCCATAGCCCGTCGTTCTCCTGTAACCGCGCGTTCCCCCACAACGCTGTCCTTCCTGTTTACGCCCGCTTACTCCCATATCCCATTGTTCGCCCGTATCCACGCGTGCCTTTTCCAGGGGTTCCCCATACCCCTGGGCTCCCCATATTCTAGGAATCCAACGTTCCTGCATTCCCCCTCATCCCACCATTCCCCCATTTCCCGCTGCTCTCTCCTGTACATGCGTCCTCCCAAATACCTGCATTCCTTAAACCGTGTATCGCATTTCATTTCAGGCCGCCCTGTGTGGTCTTGGCTTCGTCGCAGGCATCATCATATTTTCTGATCAGACCAACCTCTCCTTCAACGGGAGACGCACTGCGCACCCGATGCTCATGAGCCTCGCCAACATTCCAGAGGCTTTCTGATGGAAGGATGGTGGCACCGAGTTCGTGGCCATGCTTGCGCCCCTGCCCTCCAACCTGACGTCGGAGGAGAAGACTGCGGTATTTCAACAAGCGGCGCAGGTGGTGTTTGGGTCCCTTATGCGGTCCGGACACCGGGACGGGCGAGTGTGATAGTCAACGTGTACTCTAGATCCGCACTCGTTGCCTGTGTTACGCCTCCTGCGTTGATCGTTTCTGCACCTCTCCCCTGACGTATCACTTCCCTGGTTTCGGGCGCATGCCCTCGATTCCTGTAGTCCTGATCTTGGGGGCGTTGCCATCCGAACATATCGCGGGCCAGGTTCCCCTACATGGGGTGTCCTGCCTCCCCCTCCCACACCCCTTCCCACACAGTGTTGTGCTCTCTGCTTGCCTTCATGCCCTCACACGCTGTGAATTGCTTTTTGCTCGCCTTCATGCCCCCTAAGCATGGGGAATAGGCGAGTCGAGCATTACTTGCTCCGAGTAATTCTGACTCGACCCTCTTGGGAGGCGTGTCGAGCATTATTCGAGTTGAGTATTTTTACTCAATTTTGGGGCGAGTAAACGCTTTACTCGGGGCGAGTAACATTTACTCGCCTTGAGGCAAGCATTACTTGCTTCAGGGCTGTTCCCCCCCCCCTCCCCGAACAGTCACATTTCTGGAGGGGAGCGTTTGAACGTTAAACGCTTGATTTCTGGTCTGGCAAACGCTTGATAATTGCAAGGGGGGGTGGGAGCGGGGTTGCAGAGCACGTTCTAGGAGGCGATATGGCGGCCTCTGTAGTTGTGCGCGGAAATAGGTTTCCAGCATTAGGAGGGATAGTGTACGCCCTCCTCACGTATAGCGTGCTAGAGGGGTGGATTGGATTTCGTAGTTGCGAACAGGTCCAGTGCAGTCGTAGTGGAGGGATTTGGTTGGATGTCGATTTTAGGCGATATTGTTGATATTCGCGACTTGGCGACATTCCGAGGAGGGATTCGCCACGTCGCTCAGCTGCGATTGGTTACTTCGCAATTTCTCGTGGGCATCCGATAGAGCAAAAAAGCAGCCACGTTTGGCTTCTGATATTGCATTTGTGGTCACATAGCTACATTTAGGGGTTTGATTTGTTAGGCCTGCCCAACATTACTTGGCATGCACACTATGTGTGAGCAAAATCAGTGCACGCGCGTAGTTGTTGCTCGCGTGCAGAAATGCCTTGCGAGTATTTTTTACTCACCCACATGAGACGAGTAACAGTCGAGTTCTCGTTTACTCGACGAGTAAACTCGACTCGACTCGGGGCAAGTAATTTCCAGGGGGCGCCAACTCGTTACTCGGAAAAAACGAGTCGAGCAATCGAGTCGAGTTTTTACTTGCCTCGACTACCCATGCTTAATGTCCTCCCACGCGGTGAAGTGCTCTCTGCTTGGGACCGTGCCCTCCCACTCTGCTTTGTGCTCGATGCTCGCCACCATGCCACCCCATGCTGTGTTGTTCTCTCAGCTCGCCACTTTGACCGCTTCTGTCAGCCCTTGGCTGCACTGCCTTAGACAGCATCCTCCATCTCTTGGTTGCACTGCCCTTGACAGCATCAGCCCTCCCTTGGCTGCACTCCCGTTGACAGCATCAGACCTCCCTTGGCTGCACTGCCCTTGACAGCATCAGCCATCCCTTGGCTGCACTGCCTTTGATGGCATCAGCCCTCCCCTGGCTGCACTGCCCTTGTCAGCATCAGCCATCCCTTGTCTGGACTGCCTTCGACAGTGCCAGCCCTCTTTTGGGTGCACTGCCCTTGACAGCGTCAGCCCTCCCTTGGCTGCACTTCCTTTGACAGCATATGCCCTCCCTTGGCTGCACTGCCCTTGACAGCATCAGCCATCCCTTGGCTGCACTGCCTTTGATGGCATGAGCCCTCCCCTGGCTGCACTGCCTTTGACAGCATCAGCCATCCCTTGTCTGCCTTTGAGGCGCCCCAAAAATGGACTCCTGCCCTTGACAGGATCAGCCATCCATTGGCTGCACTGCCTTTGACAGCATCAGCCCCTTTTTGGCTGCACTGCCCCTTACAGCATCAGCCCTTCCCTGGCTGCACTGCCCTTGTCAGCATCAGCCATCCCTTGTCTGCACTGCCATTGACAGCATCAGCCATCCCTTGTCTCCGCTGCGCTTGACAGCATCAGCCCTCTTTTGGCTGCACTGCATTTGACAGCATCAGACCCCTTGTGGCTGCACTTCCTTTGACAGCATCAACCCTCCCCTGTCCGCACTGCCTTTGACAGCATCAGCCATCCCTTGTCTGCACTGCCCTTGACAGGATCAGCCATCCATTGGCTGCACTGCCTTTGACATAATCATCCCTCTTTTGGTTGCAATGCCTTCGACAGCATCACCCGTCCCTTGGCTGCACTGCCCTTGACAGCATCAGCCATCCTTTGTCTGCACTGCCATTGACAGCTTCAGCCATCCCTTGTCTCCGCTGCGCTTGACAGAACCAGCCCTCTTTTGGCTGCACTGCCTTTGACAGCATCAGCCCCTTTTTGGCTGCACTGCCCCTTACAGCATCAGCCCTCCCCTGGCTGCACTGCCCTTGTCAGCATCAGCCATTCCTTGTCTGCACTGCCATTGACAGCATTAGCCATCCCTTGTCTGCCCTGTGCTGGACAGCATCAGCACAGCCTTGGCTGCACTTCCTTTGACAGCATCAGCCCTCCCCTGGCTGCACTGCCTTCGAGAGTGCCAGCCCTCTTTTGGGGTGCACTGCCCTTGACAGCATCAGCCCTCCCTTGGCTGCACTCCCTTTGATAACATCTGCCCTCCCTTGGCTGCACTGCCCTTGACAGCATCAGCCATCCCTTGGCTGCGCTGCCTTTGATGGCATCAGCCTTCCCCTGGCTGCACTGCCTTTGACAGCATCAGCCCTCCCCTGGCTGCACTGCCTTCGACAGTGCCAGCCCTCTTTTGGGTGCACTGCCCTTGACAGCATCAGCCCTGCCTTGGCTGCACATCCTTTGACAGCATCTGCCCTCCCTTGGCTGCACTGCCTTTGGCAGCATCAGCCGTCCCTTGGCTGTGTTGCCCTTGACAGCATCATCCATTCCTTGGCTGCTCTGCCTTTGACAGCAGCAGCCATTCCGACAAACGTTGACGCGTCGTTCAGGGGGCAGCCTGTCCCCCCCGTAAACCCAGCGCCAGCCACTCCAGTCACCTTGTGTCCTGCCCGTTGCTGTCCCTCTCTCACCAGCCATGGCTTGGTGGCAACAAGCTTCACCCTTCCAGCCATTACTGGGCGACACCATCGCGAGGTTCACCGGCCAGCCATCCATTGGATGTAACCCGCCCACCCGCCTCCCTCCAGGCAACCGCGCCTCGCTGCGGGTGTTTTTGATGCCCGCACTGCCCTTTAATGCATTGTTTGATGGTCACCGCCCACCGGGCTATCGTTGCCGTCCGTCTCTGCATTGTCATGCACTTTCAGAGGTGGGCTGCAGGTAACAGAATCCGGAGGCCTGCAAGGTCACATGCACAATGTCGGCCACATCGATGCACCCATGCTCTATGTGCATGGTGGAACGGGATGCGCTCGTAAACGTTGCACAACGGAGTGAGGAGTGGACGGTCGAGGGTCAGCGTCTAGCCTACCACATGATGGAAGGCCCCCCCCCCCCGGCACCCTGGATGCCTTGAAGAGGACCTTCTCCACGCACTTCATACAGGTGGGTCCGGACCCTCGAAGCTGCCCCGAACAGCACATGGACACATGCTCTGGTTCTACTCATCATACACAATACCCCACCTGGCCATTCGTTTCTGGCTTGCGAGTCAACCAGTGGGCCCTGCAGTGGGGCCGCCTGGCCCCCATTGTGGTGATTTGTTGTGCTCTCTTTCACACATAATTTCGTGCAGTGTTTTCTCTGGGATTGGGAGCTTTCCCACACTACCTAGGGGAATCCGTACTTGAAAGTGGGCGTTGACATCATGCATATCGTGGACGAGGGCATTTGGACGCATGCCATGAGGTGCCTACGGGGCGTGCTGACAACGGGGGAGCTTGACGTTTTGCAAGGGTGAGTCGAGTTGTGGTGAGTGACTTGCAACAGCCCCCCCCTCCTCGTCTTGTTTTCGTGACGTTCCTCGAGTGACACGTATTTCTCAACCGCGGCACGATACTCCGCTTCTGAGCATTGAGCAATGATGCAAATCATGCCCATTATCATCCACCTTCCGAGATGGGCGGTGGTGGCTGAGGCTGTAATCGCCTTTGTGTGCTGGTACAAGTCTCTGTTCCATGTGGAATACCACACGGACGCCACTCTGGACGCGGCGGAGGCGGAAACCCACAGGTAACTACCAGTCGCCACACGCCCTCGCCCTTTCCTTCCCTCCTTTACTATGCAGCCCTCATATCCCCCTTTTTGGCCTGCCGATGCCCTTTTCAGCACTATTGTTTTGGCACACTGTGGTTGCCGCGGGGTTTGGTTTGTCGTATTTGGATGCGCCTCTGCATCGGTTAGTTCATGTGGGCCATGCTGGCGGCGCCACTGAATCCCCCATCACCCTGTCTGTACTCAATGTTCCCAAGTGCTGTGGCCTACCCGATTACCATTGGCAGGGTTGTGGCCCTCTTGACGAGGGCATTCCCAAATCAGTCGTCCCTTTGGCAGATAATCAAAGTCCATATGCTAGCCCACATAATTCCCACCATTCAAATGCATGGGCTAACCAAGGAATACAACTTTAATCTGTACGAGCATTCCCACAAAAACACTGTCAAACGTCCCTCGCGCAACACCAACTGGGTGAACGTAACAGGGCAGATCATCCGCCGCCATGTGAATATGGCCACCCTCAAGGAGCTCACCCGCGAAGTGGGTGGCGATCCCTCCTACGAGACTGCTATGAGGCAGGTAAGTTGCTTTGGCGTGGTCAAACGTGCGTAGTGTGTGCACACATGCTGTGGTTCTCGTCTATGTGCTCTTTGGGGGGTGCGTGTGTCGTGCGGACCACTCGTGACAGTATCCCTCCCTTGTCTTGTATTGCCTCTGCACAGGCTACGTTGCTCAACCGGCGAGTTTTGACACGCACTAGTCGGCGCATGGATGTCGGGGACCCGCACGACACGGTCCTTGAGGAATACACCCAGCAGCTTGGCCCTGCACTGATGAGCAGACTCCCTGGCGCCCTGCGGCGCGCGCACATCGCGTCCAACAGCCTCCAGGTATGCCTCTGCCCCACGTTTCACCGGACCCAAGGCTCTTGCTTGAGGGGCTGTGTTTTTATCGCCTGTGTACGGCTGTCACGTGGATGCATTTCTCTGGCCTCACCCCTAGACACGCTTGAAGTTTGTGGCCTCACACTTCCTTCTTCCCCTCTTCCTGGGATTCCCCTCCGGTCAACAGTCCCGCTCTTCTCCTGGCTCCACAACTCGATGCTCCTCTTAACCCTGCCATCTTAGGTGCTATGTTTTTGCCCTCCATTGTCTCCATCATCCCCTTCTGTTGTCGTCCGCTCGGGATCTTTGAGGGTCCCCATTTTGTTTTTGTCAACCCCCCTTGTGGCCCAGCCGAGGGGGCTGGCAAACTTGTTGCATGCTTAGGTGAGCCCAAACTATGATGGCCCCCCCACGTGTGTTGCATAGCCAGCGCCAGCCCTGGGCAACCCTCTACCACTGTTTCCATGCTTAGGCCGGGGCAACCCTCTCCCGCTGCATCAGCCATCCCTGGGCTGCACTGCCTTTGATTGCTTCAGCCCTTCCTTTTATGCACTCACCCTGACTGCATCAGCCATCCCTTGGCTGCACTGTCCTTGTCAGCATGTGCTGCTCCCTTGGCCGCACTGCCATTGACAGGATCAGCCAAGTTTTAAGGCACTGCCTATGTCAGCATCTGCCATCCCTTGGCTGCACTGCCTTCGACAGCCTTGAGCAATCCCTAGGCTGCCTGCCTGTTCTTCTTTGGACAGCTTCAGCTATCCCTTGGCTGCCCAACCGTTGACTGCACCAGCCGTCCCTTGGCTGCATAGACTTTGACTGCAGGAGCCATTCCTTGGCTGCTCTCAACTTGACAGCATCAGCCATCTGTTGGCTGCACTGTCCCTGACCGTATGTGCTGCTCCCTTGGCTGCACTCAACTTGACAGCAGCAGCCTTCCCTTTTCTGCGCTACGTTCGACAGCATCAGCAACACCTTGGGTGCCGTGTCTTCGAGCAAATGAGCTGCTCCCTTGCCTGCACTTCTTTTGGTTGTGCAACGACAGCCATCCCTTGGTTGCATGGCCTCTGATGGCAACAGCAATCCCTTGGCTGATCTGCCCTTGGATGCATCAGTAATCGACGGGTGGCACTGCCTTTGTCAGCCTAAGCCATCCCTTGGGTGCAATGCATTTGTCTGCAGCAGCCATGCGTTGGGTTCCCCCCCTGTCCCCCTCCTCCCTCCCCCCCCCCCCCCCCCACGCGTAGTTGGCAGATGGGTGCTGCTTTTCCTGGGACAGGTTGAGGAGGGTTGGTTGATGTCTGCTTCGGGGGCTTCCCGCCAATGATCACGTCCGACGCGGTGGTGGGAAACCATGGCCCGCTATGAGCAAGGTGTCCTAAAGCCCTCCCTGCCATATCTATTCTCCTCTGTCCACACCCACCCACCTGGATTATTGGCTGCAGGTTCACACGTCGCTCGCCATTCCCCCCCATGACCGCATGGAATGGTCGGCCCGCGGGCAGTTTATTAAGGCTTCTCCAAAACAGAAGTGGTTCTCGCATATCCAGATTGATGCTGCCGGCACTGAGTGGTGGGGGCGAGCACTGGTGTTGTTCAAAGCGGTCCACGAGCGTGGGCATGAGGTGCAGCGGGCGTTCATCTTATACTATTCTGCTGCTCGTGGACCCTGCTCAGACACAGGGTGCACCCGCCTTCTTCCAACGTCTGGCCGTGATGCAGTGGGTGTCATTGATGTTGACTCGATTCTGGCTTGTGCGCACATTGTTCCGTCGTTTACAGCCCGACCGTACCGCCTGGTCAACCGCTTTTTGTTCTAGCTTGTCTCAGGGTCTAGTTTTCACTCACTGGCTGATGCTATGTGGCATACTTGAACCCCGATCGATGCCCCGTTACTTCATCCGCGCTGACTGTACAGGCATTTTGTTTCCAATATGTGGCAGCTAACTCGTTGATCTTTGATGGATAACCCCTTTTGTGTTTTATATTTTCTATTTGTTTGGCAAGCGTTCTGAACAGTTGTAACATAGTATTTCGTTCATGTGCGTGGCCCGACTCGCTACGCGCGCTACGGGCTGCGACAATGTTGTGCTGTACTATCATCGACGGCTGTAAGATTTTTGGCTCAAAATTTGGATTGTGAACCGTTCGATCAGTTACCTAGGGCGAAAATGTCAACTTATACATATGCTGTAGGTAGAAGTTATAGGCTAGCATAGGTGTGTGCTTCTAGTGAGTACAACCCCAAGAGGTACATGTTCTAGGTTTCTCACACTAGTCATTCATTCTCTCTTTCTAACATGGTATCATGAGTAGGTTAGGTTCCTCTCGCCCGCCCACGCTTCCGCCCTAGGCCCTAGCCGCCCTCGTGACCCGCCCCTAGCTGGCCCCCTGGCCGTCGCGCCTGCCCTTAGCTGGCCCCCTGGCCGTCGCGCCCGCCCCTAGCTGGCCCCCTGGCCGTCGCGCCCGCCCCTAGCCGGCCCCCTGGCCGTCGCGCCTGCCCCTAGCCAGCCTCCTGGCCGTCGCGTCCGCCCCTAGCCGGCCCCCTGGCCGTCGCGCCTGCCCCTAGCTGGCCCCCTGGCCGTCGCGTCCGCCCCTAGCCGGCCCCCTGGCCGTCGCACCCGCCCCTAGCTGCCCCCCTGGCCGTCGCGTCCGCCCCTTGCCGGCCCCCTGGCCGTCGCGCTAGCTCCTAACCGGCCCCCTGGCCGTTCGCGCCCGCTCCTAGCCGGCCCCCTGGCCGTCGCGCCTGCTCCTAGCCGGCCCCCTGGCCGTTCGCGCTCGCTCCTAACCGGCCCCCTGGCCGTCGCGTCCACTCCTAGCCAGCCCCCTGGCCGTCGCGCCCGCTCCTAGCCGGCCCCCTGGCCGTCGCGCCCGCTCCTAGCCGGCCCCCTGGCCGTTCTCGCTCGCTCCTAACCGGCCCTCTGGCCGTCGCGCCCGCTCCTAGCCGGCCCCCTGGCCATCATGCCCGCTCCTAGCCGGCCCCCTGGCCGTTCGCGCTCGCTCCTAACCGGCCCCCTGGCCGTCGCGTCCACTCCTAGCCGGCCCCCTGGCCATCGCGCCCGCTCCTAGCCAGCCCCCTCGCCGTCGCGTCCGCCCCTAGCCGGCCCCCTGGCCGTTCGCGCTCGCTCCTAACCGGCCCTCTGGCCGTCCCGCCCGCTCCTAGCCGGCCCCCTGGCCGTTCGCGCCCGCTCCTAGCCGGCCCCCTGGCCGTCGTGCCCGCTTCTAGCCGGCCCCCCTGGCCGTCGCGTCCGCCCCTAGCCGGCCCCCTGGCCGTCGTGCCTGCCCCTAGCTGGCCCCCTGGCCGTCGCGTCTGCCACTAGCCGGCCCCCTGGCCATCGTGCCCGCTCCTAGCCGGCCCCACGGCTGTTCGCGCCCGCTCCTAGCCGCCCCCTTGGCCGTCGCGCCCGCTCCTAGCCGGCCCCCTGGCTGTTCGCGCCCGCTCCTAGCCGGCCCCCTGGCCGTTCGCGCCCGCTTCTAGCCGGCCCCTCGTAGCGCCCGCCCGGCCCCTTCTAGTGCCTGCCCGGCCTGTTCCGCACGCCCGTCCCACACCCCCTGCCCGGCCCCACCCAGCGCCTGCCCGACCCCGATACGCTCGCCCGGCTCCTGTGGCCCGCAGCTCCCAGTGCCCGCCCGGCTCCTGCGGCTCCGTGTCTTCTGCTCGGCACGGTTCCTCGAGTCTCCGGCCTCGTGTCTTTTGCTTGCCAGCGCTGGAGCGTCCTGCCGACGTCCCCCTGGAGCTGTGCAGCTGTGTCCCTGTGCCGCTGTGTCCTGTGGAGCTGTGCCGCTGTGTCCCTGTGTCGCTGACCCTGCACTATGGCTGACTTCGTCCTCCGCCTGGACGCTGAGGGCCACGCAGTTGACTTCGTCGCCTGGCTGTCCGATCTCCGCCGTCAACTCACAGGTCAGCGCCAGAATGGGCACTCCTTGGTTCTCTATGCTGATGGCTTGCTCCCCCGCCCCCCTGCGCCTGCTCCCCTCCCTGCTGACCCCACCTCTGCTGAGCGTGAGACTTTCTCTGCTGCTGCACTTGCCTGTGCCGTCTGGGACTCTCGCGATGCAGTTGCTCAGTTCGCTATAAGTCACGCCCTCCCTGTGTCTGTGCGTTCGCGTTTTGCTATAGTTGATACAGCCAAGGCTTACTTAGAAGCTGTTGTTGCTCGCTATTCCACGCCTGCCTCCGCTACTGCAGGCCGCCTGCTCTTCCCTATGCTTTTCCCAAACCTTGCTTCCTTCCCTACTGTTGCTGACCTTGCCACTCACCTGCACGCCCTAGAGTCTCGCTACCGCACTGTTAGCACTGCTGCCCAGCTCACTGCGCTCCCTCCCCCCTTCTGCATGACCCTCTCCTTTATTGTTATGCGCCTGCCTGACCGCCTTGCTAGTGCACGCGACCACATCCTTAGCCAGCACCGGGGTGATCTCACCCTGCCAGACATTGTCACCGCCCTGACCGAGATCGAGACTCGCCAGCGCACTATCGCTTAGTCGAGCGGTGCGCCGGCAGTCTCTATCTTTCACGGCTGTGCCCCCTCCCAATGCACGTTTACTGACGTTTCGGCTGCGGTCGCCACTGTGACCCCTCTGACCGAGACTGCAGCTGCGGTACACCCGCAGCAGCGCTCGCGCCTCGCCGATCGTGGCTGCCAGGGAGGGCGTGGTGGTGGAGCTGGTGGTAGTGGTGGTGGTGTCGGGGACAGTGGTTCTACTGAGGGGACTGCCTTAGCTAGTCAGGAACAGCAGCCGTCGCCCCAGCAGCAGGAGCAGCCGCAGCAGCCGTCGCAGCAGTCGCAGTCGTCGCAGCAGCTGTCCCAGCCCCCGCCGTGGGCTCGTCTCCCCTCGGGTTGGCCCGGCACCTCCGTAGGTGTTGGCCGTGGTGGCGGCCCTCGCAACTTGGCGTCTACCGGCAGCTCCGTTGGTGTGACCTACCAGTACAAGTTTCAGACCGGGCCTCTCCGCGGTACTCTCTGCTGCCGCCCGCACCCGACTGCCCGTTGTTTCCGCCGCTTCGACGATCTCTTTCGTCGTCGGTTTGGCCCGGTCCCGGACCTCCCCGACTGGCACAGCCTGCTTCGCCAGGGCATGTCGATCTTTGATTTAGATATGGATCAGATAGGTGCTGCTTTGCATGCCTTGTATGCTGACGCTTCTAGTGTTGCTGGATTATCACCCTGTGTACTCTAGTTTAGGCGTAGCACCTTTGTATAGCTTAGCCTCCCCTGCTGCGTCAGGTGCAGGACCGCCTAGCTTGCCTAGCCTAGGTTCTGCACCGGCTCCGTTCCCGGCCTCCGCTACTGCCTCGCTGTCCTTCACTCTCGACTCTGGTGCTTCTGCCTGTTTCTTTCGCGACCGCTCCACGCTCACGCCGCTTGCTGCGCCTGCTGTTGTCGCTCTCGCTGACCCCTCCGCGGGTCCTGTCGTCACTCGCTGCTCCACTTCCCTTCCGTGTCTAACCGTTCCCTCGGGCTCTCTTACAGGCCTCCATGTTCCCTCGTTCTCCCGGAACCTGGTTGGTGTCAGCCAGTCTTCAGGACCTCGGCGTCACCACTACGTTCCCTGGGCACGAGCGGTTCGCTGTCTGTACCGAGGCAATCTCAGGTTCCCCCCTTGCCGCGTTCCCCCGGGACCCAGTGTCGGGTCTCTTTACCCTCGACACCGCTTCCCCCCCGGTTGGTGCATCCTTTCAAGTCGCTGCAGCTTGCTTGTGTCGGTCCCTCACATACCCGTCCCTTCGGTGGCACCATCGCTTAGGTCACCCTGCTCTCCCGCGTCTGCGTCACATGTCTCAGCACGGTTTTGTCTTAGGCCTCCCCGAGTCGCTCCCCGCACTTCCCCCCTCGACTGCGCCATTGTGCACGCCTTGCGTCGAGGGCCGGATCCGCCATGCCCCTCACTCCTCCTCGCTTTGCCTTGTCACTGCTCCCCTTCAGACCCTGCACCTGGACGTTTGGGGCCCAGCCCCCGTCCCTGGACCGCGCGGTGAGCGCTACTTTCTTGTGCTTGTCGATGACTACACGCGCTACACCACGGTGTTTCCCCTGGAGTGGAAGGCCGACGTGCCCGACTTTCTTCTCCCGTGGGTTGTGGCTGCACGTCTTCACCGCGGTCTCCCCATGTTGTGTCTCCTTTCTGACCGTGGCGGCGAGTTCGCCTCTGGTCGGCTTGGACAGTTCTGTCGTGCGGAGGGCATCACCCAGTCGTACACCTTGCCGGACTCGCCAAAGCAGAATGGGATTGCTGAGCGCCGCATCGGCTTGGTCATGGAGGTTGCTCGTACCTCCATGATTCATGCCAATGCCCCCCATTTTCTGTGGCCGTTCGCTGTTCGCTACGCTGCTCACCAGCTTAACTTGTGGCCACGTTCCCAGCGGCCGCAGGCTTCGCCGACTTTCCTTTGGACCGGGTCCCTTGGTGACACGTCTGCGTTCCACATCTGGGGCTGCCTTGCTCACGTTCGTGCCTCTGGCACGGACAAGCTCACTGCCTGCACTATCCCCTGTGTCTTCCTTGGTTTCCCCCTGGACTCGTCTGACTGGCTGTTCTACCATCCGCAGTCTCACCGCTTCCTTCACTCTCGTGACCTCACCTTTCACGAGTCTGTCTCCTTCTACCGTCGCTTCCCTCACCGAGGTCTCACAGCCGCCGCCGCCCCTGCCGTCGCCGCCGCCATCGCCGCCGCTGCCGGTCTTGGCCTCTGGGGGTGCTGGCGTTGAGGAGGGTGTTCCTCCTGCGGCCCCTGGCGTGGTCTGTCCTGGCAGGCCTGGGGGTGCCGCTGGTGCTGGAGGGGGTTCTCGCTGTAGGGGTGTTGGTTCTGGGGATGCTGCCGTTGAGTGTTCTCCCGGTGGTCGTCGTGCCCCTGCCGGTCCGCGGGTCGAGCACTAGCCGCCGCAGCAGCCGCCGCAGCCGTTGTTGCCGGTGTCCGCTCTTGGCCTGCTCGGCCTTCCCTCTCCCGACCGCTCGCCGTTGTCTCCCCCACCACCATCTCACCTTCCTGTCTTCGGCCCTG